CTGAAAAACGGTCTATACTTTGTTAAAATTCTTCAGAGGAGTGTACGTTTTCCGCTGCGTTAAGGGGTTAATACTGTTAAGTGAATCTAGCGCCAGAGTGTCGCTATGGTAAACAAATACTAGAGTGAATTTTAAAGAATGCATTTATTCTATTGTGGTTTATGCGCTGTCGGCGAAGTAGATTTAATGCAATCCAATAAGTTTAAATGAAAATGCAAGAAAAAATGCGTATATAATTAATATTCCAATACAAGGAAGTCCATGTGGTGTACGCATCAGATTTTTTTCTTCAATAATAGGCAGGTTTTTAAATTTAAAAGAAAGTTAAATATCGTTCAATTCGCCAAATGATTAAAAAAAAAAAAAAAAAAAAACTTCGAGTAGAAGTTAATATTTTATATCGGATGTTCTTAGAATTCCTGATAGTGTTAAATGTTGTCATGCATTTTTGTATATTCGCCATATTATTTCTTTAAAAATAATACATGGTGATAACATTTGTCGGCCATATTTGGAAAGTGGTACGAACAAAAGTGGGAAGTTTGAGACTGATAGCAGGTCAGGTGTTAAAAAGAAGGACAGAAAAGAAGAAAAAACGTTTAAAAGGGTTAAAATTTTAACGAATGCCCAAAAGCTGTCCTTTAAAGTTTAATATATCAGTAGAAATTATAGATAGAATAAGAAAGAAACGGAATATATAAAAATAAAGATATATCAGTAGATAATAAAGATATAGTATCAGTGGAAATTATAGATAGAATGTCCCAGGTGGACTAGCGAAACGTTTTATAGGATATCAGATGAATATGTTTACAGTAACGTGGGAGCGTTTATATCTTCTGTATATTGAAAAAGTGAAAAAAATATTTAATATAATTCTAGAAAAATAGTTAAAAGTTTTATTAAATATATCATGAATTAAATGCATTTTTATTTAAACCAACCAGATTAAAAAGTAAAAAACTAATATTTTTAAGTGCTGCATCTATTATTTTCAAATAGTTTAGTTTGTTAATTAATAACAGACAAAGGAAATAATAAAGAATAATAACTTATGTTTTTCCGAATGGCTACAGACTCGAATGAAAAGTGAAATAATACGAAATCCCGTTTCGAGACTAATAGCTAATAAAATAGATTAACAGCTTTCCGAGACTAATAGCTTTTGGTTGATGAAATGTTTTGAAATGTTTTATATAACTGGATTGTTTTTCTGTTGGTTGAGAAATAATAATTCCTCATCCCCACCAAAAAAATCTTTCCCTTCGTTTAGGTCTCTGTGTTTTATAATCCATTTTGAAAATCGATGTATTTATTTGGAATTATTTATGACTCCAAACTGAAATCTGTTATTTTGTTTTATTTATTTATTTATTTATTTTTAAATTTAAAAATCTCATGTGCAGTTATGTCTCACTAGTCACAAAGCGAACCCGTCTGGCGAATAGTCGCATGATTTAAGCATTTATCTTTTTTGAACCACAAATTGCCACAGACTGATCTGAAGTTGTATTTTCGTGAAGTATAATGCATTTAAAACAACATATTTTCACTAAATGATATAATCTCATGTATTAAAAATTGCCTGCTTAGTTCTCAGCTTTTAAAAACCATCAGTTTCGCAAGGTAATAAATGATTTTTCGAAATGCTAGTAAGGAAAATACGTAGTATTAATACTGAGCTACAGATGAACCAGAATTTCTAAAATGCAGATAAAAACCTTAGTGATAGTTTTGACTCACTATTTGATTGATATTTTTGATATCATTAGAGAAAAGTTGTAGCCTGTCATTAGTTTATTCTATTCAGTAGATATCAAACTAAATTAATTTTTGGCTTATTCTGCCGTATTTAATTTGATTATTAATGATTTCGTCATCCTAAACGATGAGAAAATAGTAACTCAAAATCACCAATTTAAAATCGCATCACTATATTGTGATACCTAAATTTGGATTATGATTAGATGATCTTGCCATCTGAGTAATCTGAAACAGTTAACAAGTTCTACGCACTTACGATGAAATTTTCAGTTTAACCATAAAGGACCGATTAGAATGCGAAGTAACCATGCGTGCCCCAAAGTTTTATCCAATTTCTTACAGTGTAAAAATAGTACAGTTTGAGGATATACACAGACATTAGGCTTATTTTGAATGACCATTGCCCTCCCCGGGATTCGAACCTGGATCTCTCGAATACGCAGAGTGTGCTATCCTTTACACCACGAAGGCATGTAGGAAGGAGGAAGAAAATACCTTGTAAATATTTTATTTGGATAATCGTAAATGCTTTGCATTCAGGTATCCTGCAGTCGACTATATGAGCAAGAACTACTAAATATTTATAGAACTTCATAAACTTCACTGAGCAGAAATAGAGCACATATAATTTAGAGGAAACGGGGAGGACTCTTCACTGCGCAAAAGTAACTGAGGAAAATTGTTGCAAAAATTTGATTTCGAAAAGAATTGAGTTTTAGTAACTTAGTTAGATTACACTTCAAAGTGAATTTAACAGTTAAATAATTAAAAACAATAACCATTGATGTTGCCAACTGATCCAATGAAATTTTATTATTAAATAATGTTAAAAATCTATTCAAAGAAGAATTATTTTCGGAAAGTTACGATAATTGTTTCTGCATTCTTTTTGTGTTTATAAAATAAAAAAGAGGGGGGTATTGATAATACATGAAAAAAATCTGATGTGTACACCACATGACTTCCTTGTACGGAATATTAAATTATACGCATTTTTTTCATAAATTTCATTTAAATTGATTGAATTGAATTAAATCTACTTCGTCGACAGCGCATAAACCATAATAGAATAAATGTACTCTTTAAAATTCACTATATTTGTTACTATAACGACACTCTGAATGCACAAAATTTATATCATTTGAAGAATTATCTTATCGTTGCCACATGTTCTATTCAAATACTATAATAAAGCTAGAATGATGTATGAAAGAAATTAAGCAAACAAAACAGAAAAGAAACAGTTTTTCACAGACGATTGAGTACTTCTCATTCAACTAATTCAGTTCTCAATTCGCGACTAGGCAAAAATACATAAAAATCTCAAAATATGTGTATTAAAATTACGAAGCAAATCTTAAACACTTATTTCCTCGAAAAAATTCCAGAAAGGATTACGCATGATTTAATTGGCGATAATAAATGAAGGCGTTATTTTTGTTGTTGCGAAGTTTTTTTTTCTCTAGATTGGTAACAAATCTACAATTCTGCTGTTTCAAATGTAAACAAATACGTCCGCCATGTTATTTAAAACTTAACCGCACTTAAACATCTTTTAAATTGTTGATAATTGTACAAATATTGCTTCGAGAATTACGAAAGGCATAAAAACCTTAACCGGAAGATAAGAACAACATAATTCAATCATTTTTAAAGCAAAAAATGTACACTTTACAAACATATAAGAGTAAAAAAACTGAGATCACTGTGCCGAGTAACAGAATGGATATATATATAAATATAGTAATTATATACGTTTGGTGCGGCCGATTGCAACCAAAATACGAGGTGCACATCTACATGTTATAACAGTCCTATATACAAAATTTCAACGTTCTGAGGCTACTCGTTTTTTTGAGTTATGCGAGATACGTGCGTACATACGTTCGTACAGACGCCACGAAAAAATTCTCTTCAGAATTCATTTTAAAAAGCAGTTTTATAATTTTTTTGGAGGAAACGAGTCTTTTATTCTGTCCTTACGTACAGATATCACGCAAAACCATCGTTAAATTGCATTCGATAGCGGTCAAAATGGATATTTTTCTTGAAATTTGCTGCCTGAAACCTTTCGCGATTGCAATACTTTCATTTTACTTCGTACAAGGAAGTAAAAACGCATTACCATTTCCGAAAGCTTATTATTATTTGAACAAAATTCAGAAAAAGACTATAGAGAAAATAGAGACAACTCTTTCTTACAAAATTTTATTTACCGTCACATTTTATTTTGGATGCTGACGAGCGAGTAAACAAGCAGCATACTTAGTACTATTGCAACTGACCCCATAGTGTTATAAAAATCTATTTCTTTTATACCGTTCATGGTATAAAATAACATTTATTCAATAATGTTTCTAAAATGCAGATAAAATGGACTTTAAACTCGTCATATTGTTACATTTATGACCAACGCACGTTTGTAATGTAAAAGATAAATGGGAAATCTTAGGTATCGTCAACTGATAATGATTTCTGGTCTTTATTTGAACAAGACGAAAAGTATAAAGTAAAGCAACTACATCTCTCCGAGATATTGGAAAGTGAATGGAAAACAAATAGTGGGGTGAGCCTTTAGGTGGGTTGCTTTTGGATATATTTATGCTGTCTTTGCTTACTAAATGCTTTCTCTCTCTTTTTAACCCTGTGTTTTTTAAACAGCTATTTTTAAATTGATTATTTTCTAATTTTTCTAAAACACAACAAAACAAAATTGCATCATACCATTCAACTGCCCATTCGAGGTATCTGCTTGCTATTGTAATTGCTAGTAAAAAAGAAGTAGAAATTCGGAAAATTTCGAGACCTTCCATATTTTTTTTTTCGTGTTTTCAACTGTTTTGAGATAACCTGCTTTTTTTTCTCTTCTTAATCTCTTTTCCGTATATGAAGCTTCAATTCTTCTTTTCTATTAACATTCCGAGCATGTTTCAGAAAGAAACTCTCTGACCTGATGCGTTTATTTTTTTACAACAAACAACAACCTATTTAAAACATTTGCTCGATCGAGTTTCATTTGATAATCAGATTTCAAGGAATGCTGATTTAGATCTCTTGTTTGAAAGTCAGGCATGCTGCTAATCTCCGTTTGGTATGGCTTTCTTTCTTTTAGTGTACAAACTACTTGCTTTCTCAAGGTACAGTTCACGTTACGTTGCACTGAGGATTAAGCAGTAAATATATACAACGTTCGTTCTTTGAATTTGCTCATTATTTTAGTTATAATGAGAAAATTCAAACGAGAATTTTAATTGTCCGATTTCCAGATATCTGAATTAGTTGTTGCTGCTTCTAAGCCAGGCAAAATTAAACTTGTTGTTAGTTTCTTTTAATTTTTCCTTTTATTCGAATAACATGAAAAGGTTATGTAATATAGTACATATTTTAAGTATCCATTAAATTAATTTAAATGAATGAGAATGGTATGTAGATCGCCATGTGATGAACAGCTAATAGCTAAACCTGAAAATATTAAAGTATTTATGTACTTACTCTATATAAGATTATTGCTCGTTGTTTACTCTATGAGTTATTACATAAGCATAACAAGTGTTTTTTCTGTAAATTATACCAAAGCAGATAATGATATTACTTGAATTAACGAGCCATGCAGGAACTTCCGTTTTTCCATATAGCGGGCAGTAAGTATAAAACTGCTTTCCGTAAGAAAATGCTTTGAGTAATTTCTTTTTGTTAACCCTTACGTTTACTTCTCGCATGCCAATTTTTAATATTTAGGTTAAAACGTATCCCCATTCCCAGTCTAAAGATAATATAGAGAAATATTACTTGCATTCCATTAATCTTTTCTATCATATTTGAATAAGCAGGGTTAATAATTTGAGTTCCGTTTTCCATAAAATAAGTCATTTCCAATATTATTTTAAATTTTGTAGAGTCATTCGTTTTTTTTTATGCAGGAGACGGGGAAAAATGCACTATGCCTTCGCCAAGATTCGAGCACCAGACCTCCAGATTACTAGCCGGACGTTTTATCCAGTTACATCACGAAGACTCGTGAAAAGGAGGAAGGAAATACCTTGTAATTTTTATAAATATTTGTTTGCATTTGCTTATAATTTATATTTAGAGTAATTATATAAAGTTAAGATTTTTTTACTTCCAGATACTTTGTTATAAACACTGGAAATGCATGATTATAGTCAGATTAAGTTAATACTATGCGATATGTATAGGGATCATTATGTCAGTGTTTATCTCAGAGATGCAAAATTTGATCTGAATTTATTTTAAACGTATTGGATTAAATGTCCCTAAAAATCTTTGATTTTCGAATATTATGGCTTCAGATGGCTATAGTAAAATTCTTTACGTAAATTTATGCATGCAGTAAAAGTATAAAATTCCACCTTTTCTTCAAGAAGTAATAAAATTAATCTTTTATTTAATTTTCATTATAAGCAGAACAGTAGACAAATACAATTTTCAAACTATTCTGTAAAATGTAATGTATCAAAAACCAGATTTAAGATTTTATATCAATCTGTTGAATATTGTATTGTTATTATATTGCAAAATTATGTATTACTAACAGCTATGCGGCCACCCTTCTTAATCTGGCTTTTAAATGGTTTTAAGCATGTATGCATTTCATCAGCTCGTATCCTCCGTGGAACAACGGGTCGAAAATCGAATTCGGGTCGAAATGTTTGACGAAAATCTCGGGCAAGTAGCAATATAATGCCTCTCATTCTTCTATTGTTATATCTCAGGTCTTGCAAAGTAATATCAAGGGTTACGAACGCAGCTTTGTAAGATTTTGTGCTTTCATCCCACGCAATTATTTTGCTCTCTTGTAGAACTTTTGCTTTGGCAGAACTTCTAGAAATATTACATGTTAGTGTTTTGGTATTTCCTATATTTAATGGCAATTTAAATGCTGAATGAACTGTTCTTCCTCCCGTTAGCAATGTAGCAGCAATTCCGGATGATGCAAGAGCCAGTACAATGTGTATCTTAACTCGTACTTTTGCCAGTAAAAGATTAATGATTTGTGAGAAAAGTTTTTCCAGTACCACCTGAGGGGCAATTTAATCACTTTTCTCTCGACAAACGTCCAGTATCCAAAGGAAACATTAAGTTTATGTATTATAGCCACATACTGTTAATATATAGGCGTTCTCTATATTTGTTAATATTACATATCCATTAATACTACTGTTAATGACATTTGAGCATTACAAACTCCTTACTGTAGTTTGTTAATGACTTTGTAATATTTGAAATTATGTTCTTATGCATTGTATGTAATAAGTTGCTTGTAAATACAGATCTAATAAAAATTCATGGCTGTATTATCCAAATCTGCCTAGACAGTATCTGTTTATTAAAAAATTTAGAGTGGCTGACGTTAGATTTTTCTAAGTTTAACAGTATTTTTCCTTTAGCCTTGGGTCTTATGGGTAAGAGCTCTTTTTTTTTTTTTCAGATGAGGACCACCTATTCCATTATTATGTACTAAGACACTAGAGAAAAGTACGTACAGTTGATTGTTAATTACTAGGTCACAAAAAATTAAATCAAGCAAATCATTTCAGGTAATTAAAAATTTTCAGTTTTAACTAAGCACCTCGACAATCAGTTAACTCTAAAATATACAATTGGCTATTATTGTAATGGCAAAATTCAACTAACTTCTTAAGCAAAGCATAAAGCCCACTAGTGGCCCAGCGGTAAAGTTGCTGAACACTGGTAATTCGGCCCCAGGTTCGAATCCCGCGAACGGGCTAGCTGCATGGGCGTTTTCGTGGTTTTTCCCCATGTGTAATGTATATGAGCCAGTTTTCCTTAGAAAGTTCTCCACGAAGGCATTCCTCCCCTTAGGCTGATAGCTCTCGAGGCTTTGCCATAATCAAAGACACTCACACAGTAAAGCATAAAAATTTTATAGAAAACTCTAACGAGGGCGACAGATATTCTTCGCTTTCTTTCAGTAGGGAAAGGAAAATCCTTTCGCTCCCAAAAAAAGGAGAACTGTACATGTCTTTTACAAAATTAATATATAAAATCTCTGCCAATCTAAAGTTTCTTTTCTGCCTAATTCTACAGTTTTACGTTTGTGCCTGTTTATATAAAATCTTTAAAACAACTTTCGAACTGTAACTTTAGTAACTGATTAACAAATTGAGCTATTTAAAGGCAATAAACGTATTATTTAATAATATTCCAAGTTTTTTTTATAACGCTACATAATTAATGCAATTTATAAAAACATTTAATTGATGCAATTTTTAATTACATGAGATTAATATTTTGATGAAAATTTGCATTATTATTATAATTAAGTTATTTTTGACTCTATATGCCACCTATTTAGCTTACAGAAGTACTATTTTGCGCACTGCCTAACAAGAAAGTTTATTATTTTTTACTACAATTTTTCGAATGCTTTGTATAAACCTCTATCAATCAAATAAACATTTTAAATAACTTTTTGAAATTTTATTAGTATTCATTTTGCCCACATTCTTTTTCTCATTGTGTAGCAAGGATTGAATGCATTTCCACATTAGTTGAACAATGAAAAGTAAAATCCATTATCTTTAAAAATTGAATAAAACGTTATATACGCATCAGAAGATCACAGTGCAGACGATTCACACATTTAATGTATGCATATATATATATATATATATATAATATATATATATATATAATTACATTACTTTATTCATCTATTCATTCAAGATATATATCTACCTATATATATATTAATTAATTTTTCACTGCTGCCAAAACCGAAAACGAAATATTTATTTGACCTAATTCCGAAACTGTAGTGAAGTTGTAGAAAGTATCCAAGGTGATTAAAAAATAATGAAGTGCGTACGATTTTAGTCGAATGTCCTCTTACAGGGGTTAAAAAAAATTCTCGTTTGTAATTTATGCGCTCTGAAGCGGGAGGGGGATTGCAATGTTTATCCGTCTCGTAAGATCGAGGTCAGTGGTACACCCCGGGAGGGTGGTTTCCACTGCAGGGTCAATTCGTGGGTCTTGGCTGACCTTGAATCCCGGTTTTCTACATGCCTACTTAACGACACCTGTGCGCCCGAGACGGCCTCTCGATGTTATTTTCATTCAATTCTGAAGCATCTCCCGAAACACAATAGAACACAGTATTGCGCAATATTATTTCAATCGACTACATCCACACACGTGTATTATTGTAGCTGCATTGATCTGCAACAGGATATAACAAAGAATCTAGAGATACTTTCCAGTAATTAAGGTTGGTATTACATAAAAAATATGGAAATGAATTTCAGAGGCATTTTTCATGGAATCCCTTAACGTATTTTACATTAAAAATTCAGTTATTGCATGAAAATTTCAAAAATAATTGACTGGATTACTGTATTGTGTGTCACTATGTGAAGAGTATTCAAGGCATTTACACAAAATTGCATACTTTGAACATAACCTATTTCCATGCTTTCACACATTTAAAATTATGTCGAGGTACGTACACACCACTTAATACTGTTTGATATTATGTAAAACTAATGCAGTAGATCTTGCGATTTATTCTTTAAAGAAAATTACAAAACATATTAAACAGCTAGTACACACTTGATAGACGTACTTATCATAAACCTGAGAAAATGAATTGCAGTGTACTGTAAATAATTTTAGTTTTCCTGTCTTACCGTTTACAGATACGATTGTCAGCGATTCCACGAAATGTAAAAATACAGTGATCCCTTAACTTGTATCGAACATTCCCAAATTTTCGATGGGAGTTCATTGATAATGCAACATTTATAACGTTTTTGCTTTTGCTAACTATTATAATATTCGGGCTACTCGTATCATTTAAATCGGTTAAATTACAGGACCACTACATAAAGTACATGAGAGAATTCTAAAGAGGAAACAGAAGTTCTGAAGAGCTCTTGCATCGACGGTTAATGCATAATTAATTATGATCGTTAAACTTTAGTTTTCACTGAATTCAGAATTATTCATTCTGTTGTTTATTCGTATATCTTAACATACAAAAATTTCCAACTCGACTTGGAAAAAGATGAAAACTGCGATGTTTTAAATGATGCTCGCTATTTTCGATGCAATGAATCTCCTTACTAAACTTCGAAATGTAGCTAAAACTTTAGCTATTAATCCATGGATTGGGATTAAAAAAATAATCTGATTTCTGAAATGCTATATTATGATGTAGGAAAGTTCTGATAAAAATATAAGACTATCTGACATCATTGAAATTTTTTATGCTACTCGAATGTTTGAAAATGCAAGCAAGAAAAGATAATTATTGTTGTTGTTGTCAATTATGTCACTTAGCATCAGAACAAGATCCCGAAATTTATCGTGGCAAGGAGTGCAAGATTATGCCTGCAGTTGGTAAAAGCCCTGAGCACCATACTCAATAGGGCTTTACTAAGGTCCGCCTCTAGTTTTGAAGGAGAGCGTACCGAAGAGATGGGTCCAACGGTCTTCCCTACCTGCAATCTACCGAGAGGAATTTCGGTTCGCCGCATATTTAGAGTGCCCCATGCCGCACGAACAATATACATTCAAAATATCCATACCTTCTCCGGGTTCCGGACCCGGTGCCTTCGGTACGGCAGGCATCGTCACTAACCACTGCCCCAGTTGGGAGATTTTTGGAAGAATGTTATCACGATAAAAGGAATCTACGAGGCAGTTTGCTAAAAAAAAAGAAATTGAAATCTAAATAAACTTTGTAGTTGTTTTATTTAAACTTCTTTTGAACTATGCACTTCATGTGTTTCTTCCTCAAACCCTTAAAAGTTAATTTTTTATGATATTGCGATATAAATATAATTTTATAAAGCTACTTTTCTTCGCTTTTTTTATGATATGAATTCATCAGTACAGTTAATCAGGAGTTCCAATGTCTATTAATCTAACAATACCGTACGCATGCATGTTATTTTGAATAAATTTTGTTTAGTGAATTACGGTATTAGTTAACGCATTAACTTTGTAGAGATGTTCGTTTCACTTGAGAATTTATTTTATCTGTCTTCCTCATATTTTAAAAAAGAATCGTTAGGTCGTTTACTTCAAACCAAATTAACACTGTTTGGATACAAGAGTACATGACAGAAAGTGTGCAGTTATCTATTAACATAGAAACGGGCATTTCTCGTAGGGGTATCTTGAAAAAATGCATGTAAGCCTGCCAACGTGATGCGTTTAATGATGATTTGGCAATATACGTTTTTACTTCCTTATGTCTCCATATAATAAAAAAAAGAGTCTGTGTGGCTTTTCCTTCGTGCTGCGCGTAAGCTAATAGACCCAGGGATGCGAAATTTGGTATATATGTGCATCTAGACATGAGCCAATGCACCTTGAAGCGATTTTTTTGCAAAATTCGAATCAGATGTTTTTTAAATTTTATCTTTTCGATTTTATCTCAACATTTTGAATAGTTTCATTCTCTTAGGAATGTTATTTTGGCAACAGTTTTTCATTCAGTTGTATACTGGACTGCTGACTGTTGAAAATATTCACTGTTGCCACTTGGAAAAATGAGGGCGATCATTCTGTGCAGTTTTGAAATTAATTATTAGTCTTGGATACTTCGGGTATCATATCTTAACGAAAATGTCCGTTTTGACCTCTCTAGAATCCATTTGAAAGATGTTTTTCCGTGACATCCGTACGTACGAACAGAAAAAAGGACTCATTTTCCAAAACTGATCACAAAATGGATTTAAAATGGATTCAAAAGAGATTTAATTTTTTGTAATGTCCATCCGTCCGTACGCATGCATGTATCTCGCATACCTCAAAAACGAGTAGTCACAGAAATCTGAAATTTTCTGTGTGGGACTGCTATAACATGTACTTGTGCACCTCCCTTTTTGGTTGCAATCGGCAACACCAAATATATATATATATATAAGATATTATTAACAGCTTAGTAAGCTCAGGTTTTTTTGTAGTTTAGTGATTTGTACACTTTTTTGCTTCAAAAGTAATTGAATTATTTTTTTCTTATGTTGTAAGGATCTTAAGTTTTACTAACGTTTATTTTTATTTTGAATCTTTACTATCACTTCTTATTTTCTACTTCCAGAATTATAAGCGTTAAGGTTTTTATGCAAAGTCGTCTGGCGAACGCCAAGTATTTAAGTTGTGGCTTTTTGCCAAGCGAGAGAGAGGAAGCAGTTGAGTCAAAGCAGGCCGCTTACCTTAGAAGTTACGCAGTTGCTGTTTGCCTTCCAGGCCAGAGGTTTTAATTCTCTTGATAAATTTAAACGTATTGTAGTGTTCACAGTCTCTGTACTACATA